CAAATTTAGAATAAGATTATAAAATTGAGAATAATGCAATCGCCATCACCAGTCTTGATTTCCAGTCGCCACCATAATATTAACTAAATCTTGACTCGGAAGGTGTTCGACGATCATTTCACAGCACTCAATCGGTAGTCTGTAGTGTATCAAGTCCCAGAATGGATACACTGCCCAGCTGGTCGGTATAAATCTCCTTGATACGATCTCGCACAGATGCTCAACACAAAACAGACCAGTTCTTTCAGACAGACTGTAATATTCATTCGAGTCTCTAAACTTAACGTAGTCTGTAAATGTGAATACTTTCGCCGCCTCTTTGGGACTCAAATGAATCAAGTCGTAGAACGACAAATTCGAATTCCACATTAATTTTTTCGTGTCTCTCACAAACTCTTCGTCATGCAGAGATTGATGAATATCTGTACTTGATGCATAGCTAAATAATTTGTACTTGATGAATAGTGCCCTGATCGTCAGATAGGCGTTTTCGTCCAATTCATATCCTCTCTTTTCTAGACGTCCGATGACGAGGCTGATGTCATGCCATAGCTTTTCATACTCATGATCCTGACGATCTGAATATTTTTCGTCAAAGTGACTCACAGTGGGAAAAGTGAATTGTGACAGATCAGCGCCATTATCCAAGAGTACATCGACACAGTACGGCGCGTTATTAGCCACGGCGCATTGAAGCGGGGTACGGCCCAAATTGTCCCGAGCGTCGATCTGCAACGCCCGACCGACGTCATTGCAGATCTCTAAGAATATATGTAACGACCCCATTCGAAAATTTGCATTCTCCCAAATAACGTGTAGCGGAGTCATACCATCTTTGTCAGCCATATTCGGATCGGCGCCATTTCTCAACAACATTTCGATCAGATCACTGTAAACACCAAAATTCACCAACGTAGCCAAGTGCAGCGGTGGCCGAAAAAAACTTTGACAATTAGGATCCTGGCCGAGCTCGAGAAATTTCTCGACGATTTCCACCACGCCGAATTCACAAGCCGCGTGAAAATGCGTGTATCCATCTTCACCGACGTAATTCACATCGAATCTATCGTAGATTTGAAAAAGTTTTCGAAAGAGATCGCGTCCTGAAAGAGGACTCCGTGTCATAACTTGATTAATCGATGTGGTGCGACGCAACAGAGGCTTGCCTTCCTCGTCCAAGTCCGGCTCGTCTTTGTAGCCAGTGCTGATCACGAACTCAATGAATTGTCTTTCCGATTCTTCATCATCGGGATCTAAGGCGCACGAGAGGAGGAAATCGATTTCTTCTGTTCGAAAGATGTCACGTAGATTAGGAAGTTGACCCGTCCAATTTTTAACCAAGGGAAGAACTTCATTGAAGAACAACTGAAGTCGCTCCGTTTCAATCTCCCAATTTGCCTGTTTTCGCTTGAGTGTTAATTGTCTCAAACAACTTCGGTCGTTTTCAGCCATTGTTCTAAATAATCACACACATACACACAAATATAAGAACTTTTAATTTAAAATATTTTTCACTTTCGATCATAGACTGCAGCCAAAGCGATCTGGCTGTTCACACTACGGCGTCGTAATGTACACTGACGAAGCTATGTATGTTGCATGTGGCAAGCGAGTCGTTCAATTAGAAAGTAAAGCGGGCACAGCAATGACTCGTGCTCTCTGTATGCATTTTAAATGTGTGGGTCGTTTAGAGTAACGTACGTACCGTAGACATATGGCCCGGCGCCTATGTGCCGCTTTCTCTACAATTTTTTTTTCATCTTCCGAGCGCGCGTGTGCGCGTCCACGAACAACAAGTAAGACGCGCATAGCTTCGCCCACAAGTTAGTGCGCATCGACTGCAACGAGTTATTTAAGAGTAAAGAGTATTTCGTCGAGTGACTGTGCGAGTTTTGTGTGCGCGTATGACAAATGCCTAAAACGATGCACAAAAATCCAGGTAATCCTACGAGACAGCGTCAACTGGTCGAACGAGGACGAGTGAATCAGTTTTCAGCAACGACTATCGAATAAAGTTGATAGTTTCCGAGTTATTCAACATTTTATGTTGCAAGAAACTCGAAAATGGCCAACTTTGACATTAACAAAATATGTGAAAAACGTCAAATTTTGATGTTGCCATAGCGTTTTCTTACACTTTGAACATCGTTTTATAAAGATCATCGTTTTATAAGTAAAAAAGATATTTTGCTGCCACGACAAAACCTTTTACTGTCCCAGCAAAATCATTTAGCTGCCGCGACAAAAATTGTTTGCTGCCACGGCAAAATAATTTTGCCGTGGCAGCAAAATATCTTTTGCTAATCCAGCTAGCCACTTTCGCTGGATTTGGGTATAAAATTTTTTTCAGTGCATTATAACATATCTGTTACAATTCTGCACACGAACTTTCGCACATCTTTATAAAAGAATAAGCCGTTAGATTATTCATATTAGCAGAATTAACAGTTAGATTATGTGACTTATTAGTCAAAATTTTTTATTTTAATATAAGTATGTACATCTTAAATGTAAAAATAACTTATACTTGAATGTTACCAATACCATCTTACAAACACCTGAGTAACTTTAATTCAGTAACGAACAGAAAATGTAAATTTAATTCTGTTTATGATAATCCATGTACTACTGTTATTATTTTTGCAGTGTAATTAGTGGAGGAAAAATTTTTTTTTCTGATGTACAAAAATTTTTTTTAACTTATTTTCTGAAGTAAATTTGGTGTTCATACAGCGAATTGAAAACTGCAACTCTGTGCTTGGGACACCCATGCGACACGCTGGGGTATCTATCTTGATTCTCTCCATATGCAGGACTGCAACTACTTCTGCCACTGCTGCACAATATAAAAGTGAGCCAAGTCTAGATAATATTGCTCGATTGCTCAAAAGCCCTTTGAGTCTTGCGCTTCAAATATACACATACGTTCGCGCAGTTGATGAAATGGATAGGTGCAGTGGCAGCAGCGGTCTGAGCAAAAGAGAGGGTGTATAAAGAGTGGAGCATTGTATGTGTGTCTCAGCCTCTCTCTCTCTCTCTTTCCGCTAGTGTGTAACGATGCAGCAGGTTTATCTGCGCGCCCGTACGTACGATACGTGCAAGCTGCAGCGGAAGAGATGATTTTGGGGAGGTTCCTTCGTCCTTTTTAATCTTTTCTTTTTTTTCATCCTCTTTTTTTGCCCTCGTGGCATTTATACAACTGCAACTAAAGCGCTTATATACATATAGAAAGAGCTAGGATACAAGGGAACTTCACTAAGCCATCGAGGTCGTGATTTGAAGTTGTGCGAAATTTTTCTATCTTTCTTTCGTTCATTTTTATTTTTTATTTTATCAAGCTCGGTGAAAAAATCCAAAGCAGAGTGAATCCACGATGATGAGATTAGTAATTCTTTTTACCTCTTTGTTACTTTTTCATTTGTGTCGGTGCTACAGTTTGTCAGGAGAAAATTACTCGATACTATACAAGGTATGCACACGAATTGCATTTTTTTCGACTTTTTTGAGTTTCGATATCCCGAACAAACGAGTAAATCGCAAAAACAAAACGATGAAAATCAGCTCGGGAGACTGTGAAAGTTACTAGATTAAAGAGAACCCATGTTTACGTACACAAATTGTAAAATAAATAAAGCGTTTTCTCGGCGGCTCAAATCAAACGATATATGAAGTATGAAATAAAAGTACCAAGAAGTTTGTCGCGACTCTACACCTCAGCATTTATATATAGAACACCAAACTCTTGACGCGCGCCAAGAAGACATTTCAAAGGGCGCGATGCTTGTAGAGTCGACACGTTGCGGCGAACATAGATGATGACCGGTAGACGAGCTTGCGGTTTCCTGTCCACGTCGCAAACGAGTCCTCTCACTCTCTCTCTCTCTCTCTCTCTCTTGACGAAGCATTCATGGGCTACATTTTCCAGTGCCACGTACTACAGCAGCTCGATGAACCTCACGGTATGTCGAGCGCACCAAACTTGGTTACTTTTCGCCTCGTATTTCCAAACGAGCTATCGAGCTTACATTCATATTTATAATTACCACATCTGCCTACGCACGTGCGCGCGCAATTTTATATCCTTCCTGCTTATCCATGGCATGCAGAATTCTTTATTGTGCCGCGAGAGAGCTAACTCATAACTATAAATATTTTCTGCTCGTTTTTTTTTCAGTAGCGCGCGTTACACACATATATTTTTTCACCGCGGCGAATTTATGATATTACTCGAGAATTTATACATACCAAGCACGCATGTAAAGTAGAATTACGAGACATTATGCAGATTCTTTATGTACTGGGGGGGTATTATTTATCTCGCTGTACACTTGACGACGGAGGCAGCGGAGGCGGCGGTTCCTTGTAGCGGTGCGGCCAAGTTCGAGGTATGCGCAATTGTTAACAACTTAATACGATGTCGTTTATCGTGTCGAGTGCGCAGCGCTAGCGAGCGGCGCGTGTAAATGTGTCGTGCTTGCAGTGCTGCAAAAACTTTGTACGTGTACGCGGGGCTGCAGCTCGTATATAATTTAACGTAAATTTTAAAACGTTTGCGTTGAAAAATACTAACGTACTTTTTTTGTTGGCGGCGGTGCTGCTGCTGCTGCAGCAAGCCGAAAATCGCGCGATTTTCATCACAGGTCGTTTACCGAGTTGCGGTAAATCTGTGTGTGCTCCCGGCGTGAAAAATTCAATAGAGAGCCCAACAATGAGGCTAAAAAATGCATCGACGTTCAAGCGAGTTATTACGCACATCGGTAAAAAAAAAATCTCGCTGCCGAGAGTATACGATTATTTTGTTTCTGTAATCAAAATTAAACTCATTCGGGCTGTCCCAGTGCGGAAAATAAACCAAAAAGAAAGTTGAAAAATCTTTCGATAAAGCTTTTGTCGTCGCTTACCCGAATACGCAGTAACAATAATAATCTCCCTTTGAAAGAAAAAAAGAATAAAAAAAGAAAGGGCCAAAAACCATGATGATGTGTATATGCTGTACTCACGTATAAACAGTCAGGACACGTGCGGATATATATCGAAGAGGGAGCGAGGCGAAAGCAGCAGCGGCGGCGGCGGCAGCAACAACAACGACGACGACGAAAAAAGCTCTACACACTGGCGCGCGTATACTATTGCCGTTGGCAAGTGGCGTACATTATACGGGATGCACTGCACGTATATGTATAAATTCCACAATGGAGCACGCGATCGGAGGGCGGCTATATATACTTATGTGACTCTCTGCTGCGAAGAGTCTCGTGCAGGCACACACTCACACATTTACGCACCCGCAGCAGAGATGCTGGCACTTCTGGCGTTGCTAGCTTTATGAGAGAAAAAGAAAAGAGCCGAGACGGTACATATTTATATACGAGGTACGCGATCGAAAAGAGATCGTAATCATCTCGCTGTTGTACGAGCGCCGATCTTGCGTTTAATATGACGAGATATGATGCACACAAATCATCATCGTCGATTGTGCTGCACGCGCATTTGCCGCCGCGAGTTAAGGAGTCAAGGATTACCGGGTTAATTAGATACAAGTGCACTCCTCGCGCCATTATACGACCCATCAAATCGATTATCTATCACGCGCGGACTCCAGAGATCATCTTGCGCGAGGATTAATAACGAAAGAACAAAAAGAATAAAGAAAAAAAGCGTTACTTCCGCGTCGCGGCGTTGCGATAATAATGGCTCTCTCACGGCGCATCGAGACTCTCCGTCGGTTTCTTACAATAGTTGCATAAGGCTTTAATATAATCTCGAAGAGCTACGTACGAAAACATTACTATTATAACGCGACAAGATCATACATGATCAATGCCCCTCGTACGTATGAGTAATTCGCACTTGATTTTTGAGAAACTTACATACAATTTACATTGCATTAATTGCTGAGGTATCAGCAATGCTGCATATTACTTGTCATCTGTAAGACCACACACACTTTCGTATTGATATTTTATTAATAATAACGAGAGTCATTGACTACTCTATATCAATTTTTGGGGGCTTTTTCGATACTTGAGTAAAAAAATTTGCTCGGTCTTAAAATAATTCTTGAGATTGTTTTAATAAATGATTTATATTTAACATTTCCAAAAAACTTGACTCCTCAATTTTGATTGTATTTTTCAAAAAGTGTACCTGGTGAGCGTTTATATTTTTTTTAATTCATACCTAATGTTCATAATTATTCTATTTTTTTATATGAATAATCCATACTAACTCATAACTTCTCAATTTTTAAATGAACATAGAAAAAATAAGTTTTTATATTTCATTACCAAAATTTAGGAAGTTGAAGGTCTTAAACAAAGTAATCGATTACAATTTCACTGATATAAGCGCTTCTTATTCAGAAAAATGATTTATATATTATTTAATGATGATTCTCGTTCATTGTAATATAAATAAAAAATTTTCGTAAAAATATGAATGCAAATTTCAATTATTATTCATTTCCTATGGAGTATATGAGAAAAAAGCAAAAACTATAATCACCTGACACATGATACTATAAGCAGTATCCAAAACGGTGATTAGCCGCCACGTCTCTCCTCGCACATAATACATATAAACCAATGGCTTAGGAAGCTAATCGATTGATAATCTAAAGCTCGTGCGCATAAACAGCAGGACCCGTCCGTAAAATTTAGGACTATATCGTTTACCCTAATACAAAATATGCGTGGCATGCACGACAACTTGGTGCGACTTTTAACGCTATTGGAGTGCATTAAAGTAATTGAATCAGCGCCAAGAGCAGTAGTGGCAGGAGCAAAGAAAAATGTACGTCCTCGTGACGTATACATAATATAATGTATGTGCTACTACCTTCGCCAGCACACGTGTAGAGTCGAACGTATAGATTGATGAAATTTTCTCGTTATACAGTTTGCGAACTCTGTTCGTATAATGATACGCTCCCTGCGTGTGTGCACTTATATAGATATATACGTTCGAGCCATTATCGCGAAGTTTGGATATTCTCTCTCTCTCTCCTGCCTAACGACTCTGAGTATGTATAAGTATATACCACATATATACATATACGAGCTCTACACTATTAACAGAGTGGCGCGTTCTGCGGTATTAAGATAAACATTGCACGGATCGTGCGTGGAAAATTATGTTGTCGGCTACACGTATAATTGGCAGGTAAAGCCGGATTTTCTCTGCTGAAGCACCGTAGTGTCAACGGAATACGAAAAAACCCGTTTCGCTACTTACGTATTTCATTATTCGTGCGTGCGATATATCTAATTTCATAATGGAATTGCCGCTGTGCGCATATACCAAACGCATATGCAAGCTTTGTTCAACTTCTCCCCCACAATATTTTCGCCCGCACAACGTTGTGTTTTATTTACTTTTTTTTCTACTTTTTTTCATCATCACAATTCTCTAGCTCTCTCTCTCTCTCTCTCTCTCTCTCTCTTTTTTATCTCTCTCGTGTACGCACACTACCTGCTCTAGATGAGAGCGACAGACTGACGTGATTATGTATGGAAAATTTAAAGTAAACTTTCGGAATAGAAAATATGGATAAACAGCTTTTGTGTCGCGCATATACGAGGTGAGGAGCGGCGGCAGTGAAGGAGCATCGTATATTATGTGATTATAAAATATGAAAATCGACTGGTAATCTTGCTGAAAAATGTACTCGAAATGTTACTTTTTAATTGTAGCTGTAGCCCACGAAAACCATGTTGCCGTTCAAGTTTTATTAAATTTTCAATGCATTATAATTCAGAGAATAAAACGACGGGTTAAACGTAACGATTATTGTTCAATAAGAACAATGCTCTTTGACGAGGTGTTTTCAACGCATTATTATCTGGGTCACACAATGCAATTATTCCGCAGATTGGTACTTTTTAATTTGTCATTAATTCAACTCGTTATATTTATTTTATCGAAAACAATTGATTCGGACCGTCTATATAAATTTTAAATATTTAAACACGAAAGTGCATACATATTTTCAAAAGCTAATCAAGAGGATGGATTTTCAATCAAATAAAATCAAATGTGGAATGCGACTAAGGTATCGAACATTTTTAAAAGAATGTATATGGTAATTGACCCAAATTCAATGGATCGCTTTGAAAAAATAACCACTCGCTCGAGTTTGATTTCCAAATTAAATAACATATTTGAAATCATTGCCTGCCATGGCGAGAATTCAAAATTCGAGCTTTCGATGAATTTTAAAGACAAGTATTTGCGATGTAAACAAACGGAGAATCGCATTACCCGACCGGGCATTAAAATTTTATCTCACAAAATAAAATTTATACCAAATTTTTCCAAGTACGAATGAAAAAATAAAGGGAAAATAATCGATAAAAGCTCATGAGAGCTTTCAAGAACTCATGGCAGTCAATCGGATAATTTAAACTAACCGTTGGCTCTTGCGTCTTGGCACACTTTAGGAAGATCCACGTGCACCGGAATTCGATGAACTCATAGCTAGCGTCGAGATCGTTGACAAAATCCAGAATCAATAGCACGTTACATCACTTTTCAATTATCTATGTAACACTGATCGATCATGAAAAAAAAAAACAATCCTTTTCTGTACCTCGATTTCAAAAGTTCTTATCCTCTCCACTCATTACCGCGCAAGCATCGAGCGAGCTTTTCCTGTATTTTACGCGAGTTTGCCGCGTCGAACGTATCTCACGAGCTTGCAGGGGCTGACTGATCGCGCGCGCTTTTCCGCGAAAGCTCGCAGTCCGTATTTCCTATACGTAGCGGAGCTTTGGCCTGCCTCTCTCTCTGAGCACGCGCTCTAACGTGCTTCACTTGCAGCGATGTATATACACATACCTATAGGCTTCTGCTTTGGCAATCTTGCAGCGCTGTATGAGAGCGAGAGAGGCTGATACAATTACAACTCACTTCTTTTTTTCTCTCCCTGAGGTCTATGTAAACCGATTGAATTTCCCATGCATGCGTCTATTATTTTGAACGCGAGATTGTATACAATGATTCAATCGGCTGCGTCATTTCTAGCTTGTAAATAAATACGAATTATGTATGCCGTTATTTTAATTGAGCCTTGGCTATCATAGTTTGATAATTGTCTCTCTATAAATACACGCTCAGTAAACCTTCATCAACTGTTATCTTCCAATAAGCATATGTTTCGTCGCAAGAAAAATCATCACGACGTAGTTGCGGATTATACTGTCTCTCAAAAGTTTCAAGCTAAGGATTTTTTAGTAAACAAAGATTTTCGTAGAAGAAAATATGAATAGGTTTTTATAGCTATTGCGAAGACAATTGTTTCAATAATAGTGTTTTTGAGTTCCTTCTTTTTTTTTTTTAATTTTTTTCTTTAAGACATTACCAAAAATATTCGTTCAATCGACTAGAACTCTACACACATTTGTCCGTAAAAACAAATAATATAAAGCTAAAATCAATGCCTGATGCACACAATGCGCCAGAGGGGCTGAGCGTACATTCGGAAATGAAAAGTGTATAGAGGATTATATAAATGCCATAATATTTTCAGATGAAAAATGTCACAATAAACACGTACAAATATATTTATTCCAATATTTTGATGAGGCAACTTCATAAAGTTAATTATTAAATACTTACATATAAGAACTCTTTCTCGATTAATGAAATTACGAACACTTTCACGTATTTTTAGACGTGAAAAAATGCATCCATATGCGTTGCCAACGGTTTTCACTCTCTCTCTCTCTCTCTCTGTTGTCCGCTCTTTCTCGTGATGCGCACTCAAACACGTTCATTTAGGAATGGATAGTATAAATTGATGTATCACTTGTTTTTTTTTGTTTCAATATATACCTATATGCATACATATGTGGCACATACATATACGTGATAGGTACAAAAAATGATGTTATTTTTCATCTTTCGAGCGCACATACACGCACGCACATGAGAGTGTTGCACGATTTTATTATTCAAAATTATCATATTTTTTCTGTAATCTAATGTAAAAATATGGAAAAATTATGTTTTTATAAAGTATAGCAATATAGTTAAATTATTGTAATATAATGAGTATAAAAATGATTTATAAAAGAATTTCGAAATAAATAATGATTTTAAAATTAATATCAAATCATTTGAAGCTGCATGATTTAAATGATAAAATTGAATCAAATCTATTATAACTGCTTTCCTCTTATAAAATTACTGCTGAAATATCTCAGAAAACAACTCTAATCCTTAGTATAAGCTGATGGAATAAAAATTTCCGAAAAAAATAAACAACCCAACACATTTCATTATCAAGATGGAAATTTTGAAATATTCAATGAATAACATTTAAACACAGAAGTATGCTTTGCTTGTCCCACACTTGTCTGATTTATATCAAATCATCGGCAAATGTAACTATTTACAACCAGTCGAACTTACGATTTCATTTATTTCTATATTAGGCGCCATTTCGATAAGTTTTAATCCTTTATCTATTATCCAACTCCATTTTTCGTGTTTTCGAGAAAACCGTGTTTGAAGTTGGGTATGAATGCATAGCTAGACGCGGACGACTATAACTCTGTACCCGTGATATTTTTACTTACTATGATGTATCTTATGGCCCAAGTAACTATCAAATTGATAACGTAGATGCGAAGTAAAAAAAGTGGACTTGGTCGGTTTGACCGGGAAACATCTTGCGCCCAAGTCCACATGCTCAATTTCCAAGTCGCTCTATAACCATCAAAACCCACCTGAAAAAAACTAACTATTGGATTCGATAGGAAATTTCCTTAGCTTTCTGATGGTAATATCAGATTTTCCGAAATTTTTCATTTTCACCAAGGAAATCGTCATCAAACATTTAATATCTCGTACATCGCACATTACTGCTGCGTCAAGTGCCCCAACGGTCGCAGTGCTCCGGCAGCATCCAATGACGTGAAAGTTGTATATACAACGTTCCAATATTATATTTCATAATTTTTAAAACAAAGTTGATTCGATATCGCGTTGAGGGTATCGCTGAGAGGGACTTGGTCGGTTTGGCATTGTGCTGTACCAAACGATAGACGCAATTTCCGGACATTCAAACACTTGCAAATCAAAATAGGTGTTTAACGTCATAAAAAAAATGGAGTTGGTCGGTCCTCCCTTTCCACCACAGAAATCTACAAATTTCCTATATATTTTTTCTTCTAAATGGGTATTGTCACGTTTGGTTAATTTGTAACTTTCATTCAGACAAAATTTTCTGAGTATAACGTGGCATATATTTGGCATGGCTTTTTCTCTATCTTTCAAAACATTTGCATGCTCGCGCTGGGAGGCAAGGCCAGTATTTTATCTTCTGAATTATAATGGTGCCTCTTACTCTTTTTTTTTCATTAAATATATATATATATATGTACCGAATACTGATTACAATTAGTAGTGTCAGAGGCTCACGTGAGCTTGTACACACCTATGCGCTATGTGTGCACGAGCTCGACAAAACAAACGAGTCTTACATATTATAGTCTAAAACTTTTTTTTCCTAATTAGAGCTCGCGCGCTTACTCTTTTACTTACTCCTCTTGTTTTCTTCTCTTATATGCATGTATACTGTACACCAACACGGTCAGCCACAATGAATAGAGACAGGAGAGAGAGAGAGAGAAAATTATATACGTACGATACAGAGGCGCACTTGCAGTTGAAATATGTAAGCTTGTGTACGTTGCTACAGCTCGAAAGGAAAATCTAGGCCATGAATCTCATATTATACACGTTCACTCTTACTATAATCTCGAACAGATAAAAGAAAAACAATCGAATATGCTTGAGTATTATATGTGGCTCGTCCACTCGATGATACTTGTCTTGACTAAAAAGTACTACGCTGAAAAAAAAAAAATTAATGCCCCCAGAGAGATTTGAACTCTCGACCCCTGGTTTACAAGACCAGTGCTCTAACCCCTGAGCTATGGAGGCTTATGATGAGTAGGCCGCAGCTGTGTTATATATACCTGCTGGACTATCTCTATCTCTCTCAGGCGCGCGTAAGTTTTACACTCACACTCACACAATGGAGAAAACGAAGATATCGGACTACTACGAGTAAGAGTGGAGCAGCAGCGCCGCAAACTCTTGCAATTGTTCTTTGTTGCTTGAAGCTAGGCGCGCAGGGCCAACGGAGAAGTTTTGTCGAAGCTGCCAGTCTCGGTATATCAGCTCGATAACTTCAATTTCTTTTTGCTCAATTTGCTGTGAGCTTACACGGCTCGAGCTCTAATTACATAATAATTATATACAATCGTAAATTGTTAAATTGATAACCTGGGCTTATTTGATAGAATGAACAATTTTTTATTACAGCTTCTTTTTATTAGTTATAATATGAAAGATGATGAATAAAGAATAAATATAGATGACAATCATAATAATAATATATACATATATGTTCTTTTTGTTGATGAATATAGAGGTTGACTATTACACACTCACGCGCACATAGCCGAGAGACGTATATAGACCGTGGCAGGATTGGAGTCAGACATTTTTCAAAAATTGACGTCGTCGAGCTCTCTTGAGAGTTTGAGGGTTATTTCCAAGCACTCGCTGTCGGCGTGCCATTTCGCCGACGAGCCATTAGGATCAACAGGAAATGGCGTTGGCAGTTGGAGCCGATATCTGCATAGAAGCGCACGATGTGTATAGAGAATACAGACACAGCACATGCGTGTATATGGTTCATTCTCCAGAATTTAACTAACTGGAGATTTTAAAGTAAGTGAAATTAATTTTTCTCAAATTTCGCATTGCTAACTAGTTTAAACGAATTTCATTGTTTAAAATAAAATACAGTTCAAGAATTGAATGAGGTGATAAATTGCTATTCCGATTAACAACGTTAAGAAACTAATAAATGATCTCGCGAATCCAATAATATTTCTGTACTACTATTATAGGTGTCGAATTGATACTAGAAATTTGAAAATTAATCGACAAAAATGGAAATTTTCAATGAAATCAGAGAGATCACAAAAATTTTAGAGTGAACAACGTACTTGATTTTGCATTATTTGCATTAACTTACGAACGTGACATGTGGGCACTCAAAGAACAGAATTCTGGAGAATGAACCATATATGTATAGCTCCCCTCTTAGAGCATTGCAATAGTGTGACGCAACAGGAATGAAAAAAAATAGAGAAAAAAGTCCAATGTTAACAAGTGCTGGAAGAGGAAAAGAGAAAGAGAGAGAAAGAAAGAAAAGAGTAAAAGAGTGCGTTTTAGCATCGCTTCGCTGTCAACGTAGTCCCATCGTCACTACCGAACTCGATCGAAGCTTTATTATACGCTTTTAAAAGTTGAAATAACACTTTCGATTCGGTAAAAGAAAGGAAAGGTTTCACGCGAGTAAATTGCATAAATTAATGCTAATCAGCTCGTCTCCATGCGCGGGACTTTCACGCGCCAAATAGCGACTCTATACGCTGCAGTCGGGTCGGTGCGTGTGTGTATTCATAGAAAAGATCGATCTATTACGATGCTGCAGCGCAACGCAAACAAACACAAAAAGAGGGTAAGGAAAAAAGAGAAAGCACACATAACACAGCGCAAGAGAGACGCGCAAGCTCGGAAAATGAGAATGATATACTCACTTGGGACTTCGTAAATCAACGACGTTGGATTCGACCGAGAGCTCGACGCGTTCGCGGATCTCCTCGGGTAATTTCACCGTCAGCGTCAGCCACTCGCACGAAGCCGTGCCTGGTGTTTTCAAGTTCATCTACAATAAAAAATCCATGCAAACATACGTACGTGTCGGTGTATCAAGAGAGTGAGAGGGACGTAAAAAAATTTCACTCGTCGCCTGATGGATTTCCTATATACCCAACACTTCTTATCTGGCGAAATGCGAATACGACGATGCTTTACATAAAAAAAACTTGGCTTTTTTGTCCATTGGAAATAAGAATCGACGTGCATATGGCAATGCATGTGTATATATGGATGAAGCACGAAGATGAATAAGTGAAAGCCAAGAGGTGATCTCGCGATGATGATATCGAGATAAATTAGACAATGGCCGATACGGACTCGTCCGATAATAAATGTACGGACTGCAGCAGGAAGGGGAATTATCTACGAATCTCGCGTTCAGAGGACAGAAAAGGAAATCGAAATCCCGACTGAAGTTCCAATTTACAATAACACAGCGAACTCGATGCGGCTCTATATATATAGTACATTCTCATTGATTACGAGATGGAAAAAAGGAAACCTTTGACTCACTCCAAGATAAATATCCTCCGTGCCGACGGACTGTTTGAATTTCATTTTGTACTCGGGCACGACTCTCGGATCTTCCTTTTGGAAGCTCGCGACCGACTCGACTTCGGCTGGATGCCATATGTCCGATTCTTTGGCTTGAACTTTTTTCTCATCGCTTGAATTTGTCGCTGCTGCTGCTGCTTCTGCGCTGCTCTCGTTGCCGGGAGCCGTTTTTTCCACACTTCCTGCGGATAATTAATTTTTCCATTTGTTATTATACAAAACTCGGCTCGAGCGTATCGGGGAATTGTACCGATTTTTTTGCGCGACAATTTCTGCTTTAGATTCTCGTCGTCAGAGTCCGAGTCCGAGTTTTCTCTTGGCGGATGAAATAACTGCTGAAGATTCTTCAGCTGGTCGAAGGTGAAACGCTCGGCACACATTTTTTTTACCCAATTTTTTTTTCGTTTCAAACCTTTGTCGGGTATTTAGAAATGTTAAAGAGATACATCGAAGAAACTGTTGACAAGAGCCATGGAAACAAACGAATCGCTGCTTTCTAGCGACATCTTCTGGACTTGTCGATGTACTAAAATAGATACGAGAAAATGTTCAATTCGTTAGTAGCATGTATTTTATTATTACTCCCATTTTTCTGTTGAATGATGTACGATGAAAACATTTTACTTTAAATTTCCAGCAATTGATAAAATTGTATTTTTAATAGACTTAATTCATTTATTTTAACACTGCTCTGATCATTAAATACGACAAAAATCAGTAGAATGATGTTAACATTTTCTAAATTAAATCTAAATTAAATAAAGTAATTGTTCGTGTAACTACAAATAAACATTCAAATGGATGTAAGTTATGTGTACTCGCGCACGCGCAGCCGCCTCCAATTTGCGAACAACAGATAATCGTCGTCTGGTCGCTTGTGTAAAAATGCCTACAATACCTGCTGATCGGACAGTGTCGTTATACACGCATTCTAAACATACATGTATTGCAGTGTGCAGCGGGCAGTGTGTATATTATATGCGTGATCAGATGACACGATGATGACAAACACTTCAAAAACCCGACAAAAGTCCATGAAACGACGATGAAAAGAGGCACTTGGGCCTTTTAAATGCCTAGCCTTTTGTGACGTTAAGAATAAACGTGAGTTATTTTCAGTCATGGGTAACAATGCGAACGACAACGATTTCAAGTGGTATCACGGCAATATGTCACGCCGTTTTGCCAAGGATCTACTACTGCGAGGTTTGCATTTCTTGCATCGATGATGTTTCTTTACCTTATACACGTTACTCCATGCATCGTAGAAATGAATTTACACTTTTGTCTCCTTGTGACGTGCAGATCCGGACGTCGAGAATGGTCTGTTTTTGGTGAGAACAAGCGGCACTTCCCCGGGTGATTATGTGCTTTCGGTCGTATTCAATGGCGATGTTGTTCATTATCAAATCCGGAAGCACGGAGAAGATGCATTTTTCTCCATTGGTCAGTCATCACTTGCTTTGTTTTTAATCTTTGAACCTTTTCAATGTTGCTGACAATTTTGTGAATTTATATAGACGATGAGACCACTATACATGGTTTGGAGACCCTTATAGAGTATTACCAAGAGGATGCCAGAGGGCTGGTTACAAAATTGACAAAACCAATAAAAGGTCAAGCTCCCCCTCATGAAACAAGGCGGCATGGCAATACTAATCTGCTGCACAGAGCCACGTTACAAGTAAGATTAATAAAATGTATTCACACAATCTGATTATGCTCAGTTTTTATGACATCACTTGTTTTTAGAATAATTATTGCATTGTCTCAGAGCTTGTGAAATGTGGAGATCGAAATTTAGATGCTAAAAATCAAGTGGGACAAACAGCTGTTCATTTAGCTGCAATAGATGGTTTGAAAGAAATTTTGGAGAAACTCATCGAGAGCAATGCTAGTGTTAACTGCAGAGATACAGCTGGATACACCCCTTTACATGTTAGTATACTTGATTCTTAAAAATATGTTTACTCTTTCTAAAACAAAGAAACTTTAATAAAATTCATCTCATTCTTTTAAAAAGCTTAAATTTAGTGGATGGTAATAAGTAAGGTAATGCACGCAATGCTATTTTCTAAAGTTAACATTGATAATAATCAATTTATCCATTGTTTGAGTCTCATTTCATGTTCATTGACTTTAAATAAATTATGATTTTAGTATGCTTGTCAAGGAAATTTTCCTGAAATTGTAGAAATATTAATTGCTGGTGGTGCCAATATCCAAGCGCGTCATACAAAAACAGGTAAATTTATTAAAAATTATATTACCTAATTTTGAAATTTTAATTTTCATGAAAACCTTTTATTTTGCAGGAATGGTTCCACTTCATGAGGCTGCAGACAAAGGTTACCTAGAAATAGTGGAGATTTTACTCAAACACAATGCACCTGTTAATCCAAGAACAGTTGCTGATGAGGTACCTGCAGATCTTGCAAAAAAAAATGGCCATACTGAGTGTGAACAATTTCTATGTAAGTATTTTTTATTTATTATTACTAATCTTAATTGTATGTCTTGTTTCTATAACAATATGGTAATAATTAATTCCTTTATAAAAGGTAACTATGACAGACCAACGAATGAAAAAAAATCCAGTTGGTACCATGGAACATTAGATAGAATGGAAGCTATTCATTTACTAAATGAAAGTGGAGGTAAAGATGGGTCATTTTTAGTTCGTCGTAGTGATAGGCACGACGGCATTTACGTTTTAACAATTTTATACGGTGGACAAACGTTTAACTTTCAGATTCAGAAGATGAAACTGGTAATTGAAAGTTTTAATTCGATCACACAAAAAAAGTTCTTAGAATAATTACACTTTAATATTTTATTACTAAGCAGGGTCACTTTTTATTCATTGACAATGGGCCATATCTTCCTTCTTTAGAACATGTTATTGATCATTATCGACGAATGCCAGATGGTCTTCCTGGTCCATTAATACATGCTGTGGCACCAATTCCAAAACCACCTGTTCCTGAAATGCCTCCATCTATATTCAATGGGGTAAAATATTTTCAAATAAATCCATACAATTTTAATTTCAAAATTGCTAAAGAATTTTTTTTTATTTTTCAGGATACTTTAAGGAAAAAAAAAGAATCATTATCAAAATCTGTGCTTGAAGCAGCTTTTCCAGCTCCAACTAGCTCTTGCAATATAGATGATGAAATTGACATTAAAATAGAAGATAATCAAGATCTTCATTGTGCTGTTCCTGCAATTATTGAAAGTGATAATGAGACACCAATGCCAGAGAGTGAAGGTATTATTCTAAAAAAATCGGATAGTACAGGTAATTTTCATTTAAAATTGTTTGGGCATCTGTCAAAAAAAAACATAACGTTATTTAATTTTTTTTTAATACAGCTTTCACACCTGGAGAGAATTTGATCCTTGGTGAAGTATTGGGCGAAGGAGAATTTGGTGCTGTTCACGAGGGTCTCTACATAACACCCAGCGGTACTCAACAACCTGTTGCCATAAAAATGTTAAGAGATAAGACTAGTCCATCTACTCGAGAAGAGTTTTTGAGAGAAGCGCGTCTAATGATGTCATTTGATCATCATTGTATCGTTAAAATGATCGGATTTTCAGAAGGACCGCCATTACTTATGGTAAACTTAAAATGTTCTTGATAATTACTCCTTTTATATCATTCATATATTAAAAATTAAATAATTCAAGGTGCAAGAACTGGTGCCATTAGGATCGATGTTGGCGTATCTTTTAGAATTCCCAGATAGAGTTAGTCCTAACTATGAGCTCAAAATTTGGGCAACACACATAGCCTGCGGTGAGTTTCAGCAATGGTTTAATCTTAATTTTGAACATTCAATGATGAATTTTACTCTTCACCCATTAGGTATGAAGTATTTGGAAGATATAAGACTTGTACATCGAGATTTAGCAGCCCGAAACATTTTGCTAGCGTCTAGAACTCAAGCCAAAATAAGCGATTTTGGCCTCTCTAGAACATTTGGTAACAACGATTATTACAAAGCAACGGCTGGTGGAAAATGGCCTATAAAATGGTACATAAAAATATATTCCAATGTGTATAATTTTTACAAAATAATAAATGTAACTTTTACCTCGTAGGTACGCTCCTGAATCGTTTAATTATGGAGCTTTTTCAACTGCCAGTGACGTTTGGAGCTATGGCGTGACGCTTTGGGAAATGTTTTCTTATGGAGAGCAGCCATACGGAGACATGAAGGGAACCGAAGTACGTAATTACTGAGAAAAAAACTAACTATTTTTCATGCCTGTGTACGAATTTCGAAATTTCGCAGGTTATTGAACTTATTGAACGAGGTGAACGACTACCTCAGACAGAAAAGTGTCCTGATTACGTTTATCATGTAATGCTGAGATGTTGGAATCTACGGATTTCGGAACGACCGACATTCAAAGAATTGATGGATATTTTCAGCAATGATCCAGAATACGCCAATTTGGGTGATCTTGCTATGCTGGAAAATCTGAGCTGATGTGCGAGATAAATGTATGCTATTGCCATTGGATTTGTTTATAAAGCAGGATAATTTTATCTTGTCATACCGTTATTATGTTTACTTTGAGATTTTAATCATACACGTTATATGTATACAATAATTCTTTTGAATTAGTTGATGTATGTTTATACATTTATGTATGCGTCTATTTTTTACTGTACTTTTAAAAGCAACGGTTTTTTGGTAGGCTACGCTTGCCTGCTTTTTCTATTGTTATAAATGAATTTTTAGCGCTTCGAAAGTCCATAAATGTAAAATAAACTTGGATTTTTTATAATTATAAAAATTTTGTAACATTTGATCTGCAATGTTTCATATTCTGTTATAGAGAGAATAGGTTTGTTAAATAATTGAAGAAAATATGTGGAAAAAGCATTGAAAGTATTTTTTATCTCTTCAGAATCATTAAATTGTACAATTCCAACGATGTAGACGAAAACGCTCGTTCAATTGCAATCACACTCTAAAAATGTCTTGAATTAACAATTAACAATGTGATGTCCGCTATACTCACCATTCTCTATTACAAAGTACTAAATGTAAATATCAACAATAATTATGAACACTCATAAGATTTATAAATTATATTTCATTTATTTTTTAAATGTATAATAATTATCAATAAATATAGTTAAAATAGTCTAAATGAATTTAATCTTAACGAACTTAGACTAGATCTTTGAAACCATTTTTTTCTATGTTATCTTCTGTAAGAAATTCATATAATGGAATGCACATTTACTTTCATTATATTTCTCTTACTATTCACCTAAAAATTGTCTATACATTCTATACATGTTTATGACCATTGATTAGAAAATGATACAATTTTTTATAAAATATACAAAGAACGTAAAAAAAGAACTAAGATATTTTATAGGAGCAGTATATTTTTCAATAATGATCTCCTAAACGGTAACATACTCATCAATTTTATTCTTTCATTAACGTGTATTATTGTTACTATCGACGATGAAGATAAAGTCTTATTCAAATTTATTTTTTAATGCAAACTGATTTTCTTTTTCCTTCCTTTAAAATTAGTTACAGTATAGTAAATCGACGAATAAATATTTACAAATCATCACATGAACAAAAAAGAAAAAATGGGAAAACTGGCGCCCTTGTTTATAATTGAATTGAAAATAACAATTTAACTCATATTCTACCAGAAAGAAGAAAGATAAGTTCAGGGGTTGCGCAAAATTGATTCCCTAGTTACTTTTGTTTAAATTTTGTCTGAAAGAAAGAATAGTTATCCATAAACATTAGTGGCGTGGGCATATTTCTCTTATCGATGCTAATTTTTCACTTCAAAGAATCTTAAGTATAAAACACTGACCGAGCATTCATGAATAATATTCAAATTGGTGTTGATGTTGCTGTGAAAAATGTTTTTATTCGTGGATTTTCTTTATTTCCATACAAAAGATTACGACGCAACTGCATTCGTACGCCAAAGTTCACATAAGAATTACAAAGCGTCACAAATGTCGTACTCTCTTTTTATCTCCCTATACACCGGACCGTCATATACGTATATGCTGTATAAATTACTATGTTGGATTTTTTTATAAAGTAGAAAATTGGTATAAAGAGGAAAAAATTTTTTTGTTTTATTAATTTTTTTTAATTTTAATGAAAAAACAAGCATTCGTACAGAGAAAATAAACATTTTAAAACCACGAGTGCTCATATATTATAAATGTTTTTTTATGCAAGGAAACAAGGCTCATTTACCATCTTTTTCAATGCAACTACTTTTAAATCCCCAAAAGATATTTTTATAAATCTTCTCGTTTGTACACATTTTTTTGTTTCCTAACTATATTTTTTGCGCATGTATATACGCATTTTTTTATAAATATACATCTCAAAATTATAGAAAATAATTCGTTAAATGACGAAAACGCAAAATCGGAATAAAAAGCCAGCGACTTTGTCTACCATTTACAGAATCCCATCTCCTTAGGGTTCATTACAATAATATTCTTTACTTTGTAATAGTATTTATTATTATTGAAAAAGATATTTCATCTTATAACATGGCAACATGCCACTTTCTTTTAATCGACTAATAACAATATCAATCATCGCACCGTTATATAGCATCATGAATTTGTCATTTTTTCTTGCTTTTACATACTAGCACACAATCGCATTCATACAATCAATTTTCCGCACAATAATCGATAGCTCTGTTATAGCAACTTTTGTAATTCATCGTTTCAAAGGCTTATCTTAATCCTATATGCGATGAAGTATGTTTTTTTTCATTACAAGTGCATAAACCTTGCACGATACATTTAGAGCTTTTTTCATCATCTTCTTTCTCCAGGCTGCACTACGATATCATGTAAGTTTGTATACAGTATGCTACTTATCATTGTCATTTTTTAAATTATTTTACATACATATTACACAAGCAGTCTTGCCAAATGATAATTATTGCAAACATTGACTGTTGTTGATATAATTATTGCTTTTTTCCTCCTACTTTTTACTGCATATAATTATCCTCCACGCAAGAGGTTATCAATGCATATTTTCACAAGAGATTACCACCAGCAGAGATTGGTCGCGTGCGAGCATGATAAAACATCATGATACACAAAGTGCAATGTTTACATTAAACAAAAGCAAGAGAGCGACAGGGAAAATAAAAAAAAAATTGAGAAGAAAATGTCATTGTCATGCTCGAGATGCAATCATTCAGAAAAGTTCCTAGCTCTCTTGTTTTCATCTCAACATTGAAATTACACATGGAATTCGCGTGATTCTATATACGCTGTAACGCGTGATTATCGTCATACGTAAAGAGAACAGAATGGAAAATTGTCTTTTTTATAATATAGGAGGGAAGAAAACACGGCCGTTTTAAAATCTGGTACAATGCTTTTAGTACACAAGTTTGAAACTTGAAACAGTCAAATTTATCCCCCTCCACATATGAATTTATATTATAATACAACGAGACACTAGAATGAAGTTTAAAAACACGTTCGAGTACAATTATCAATCGTGAAAATACCTAGGATGAAAGGCACTTTCGCGTCCGCTTAAAAAATTCGATCACAAGCTTTCGCTACCCGATTTTTTTTATCGCGTTACGAAAATTGTCTCGCAGTGCTTATAAAACGCACGAATAGTCAATATAAAAAAAGGCAACAGCAGGAAATTGAAAAACAATAATCGACGTAGAGCGCGCATAAAAGTTAGCGTTATCAGTTATTGCATATTGTTTGTTTCATGAAGAAAGAAGAAGACGAAAAAGTGAGTGAAAAAAGAAAGATCCATTCATTCAATAACATCAGATATTATTTATGTGTATGTGTAGTTTTTTCAGTATGATGATGATGGTATGAAGCGTAGCGATGAGGGTGTCATCACATCGGTCCGCCACCGATGTCGGACTGATATCTGAGCGTGAGGTAAGACGCCGCCTGGGTCATGTGGTTGATGCTGCGATGCAGTCCGCGCAGGTGGCGTTTGAAGTTCTCGGCGGCCAGGTAGGCCAGGCGGTCGCTGGGCTCCTCGCCTTCGAGGCCGGAGTCGACGCCGATGTCCGACTCCGAATCCGAGTTCGAGTTGGACGACACGACCGACGAGCCGGACTGGAGGCTGTGTCGGTCGATGGACGTCGTCGATGGGCAGCGCTCGTGACTGCGGTGCTGTGTCGTGGCGGCGGCGGCGACGTTGGTCTCGCCGTTGGCTGGACTCGAGCCGCTCTCCGAGGGGGCCGCCAATTGCTGTTGCGCCACCGGGCTTGGAGATGCAGCCGTTTGTTCTCTCTGTTTGTTGATGCTGCTCTGTCGGATTTCCTAAAATACGCAACGAGAAACAGGTTAGTCGGGTTCCATCCAACCATCTGAGCTGGTTAAAAGGATAAAAAAAAATCATAGAAGGTTATAATAACCGTCTGATCATCGTGACTGACAGGAGATTGCTGCGACCACAATAAATCTGTTTTCATTTGGGTAACGATTGTGTAGAGTCGGTAGAGGTCTGTCTTGGCCAAAGTGTCCCTGATGCCGCAGCCGTGTTTGTTTTTGACTTTGTCGCAGACTTTGTCGGAGCTGTCGCCCACTGCGAGGTCCAACAGGCGGCTTGGAATCAGGATCGTCTCCTCCATGTCGTTCACGGTGCGCACGAACTTCTCCATGCTGTTGAGGATGCTGGCGTTGCTGAAAACGGGCTCATCGTGCCGTGCGATCCTGCGCAGGCTGGTTCTGCAAAAAATTACCAAGCAAAAATTGCACATTAAACTTCTTGCATTCCCATGGACAAGCGCATTTGAACGAGTCATTATTTTTTATATTTTTCTCGCATTAGAGCGTTCTCGAGAGCAACTACTATTCTATTATGGGTAGGCCAGGCCACCGGTCGCAGCCGATCGCGAAGGTACACAATCTCAATGCCGCAAGCGAGAGAGAGAAAATATCTTAGTCATGATTTTTCTAAGGAATTGCAACGTGCTTTTGTTTACCATAAAATTACGCGCTAATACGAATTACGATCGTTGCTAATAAACAATGAAAAGATTGGCAAAACGAAGTTTCTCGGTTTTTGATCCATTTATCGATGAGAATTCCAAAATACAACGAAACAGAGAGAAAGAGAGAAAGAAGTTCGAAACACGGCAACCAACAATTATTGACAATCTCCACTCGAACTTGTACGCAAAACGACAAAAACGTATTGGCGCGCGCTGCACGATCAAGGAAGGAAATTTACCAGGTGTGTGTGTGTATATGTATGTGCACGTGTATAATGACGCATGAGCTCAAATATTAATAATGCAGAGTGAGCGGCGAGGAAGACGCTGCGACGCCGCCGCGATGATGATGGTGTATAATAATGACATTATAAGTGTGCCTGCGCGCGCTCCGACAGCCAGAAGAATCCAGAAAAACTCGAGTGCTCATAATATAAAGCACCTGGCACACGGCAGAAGCTCGCGCATTATGCATAAAACTATGAGACGCCAATTGTGTCTCGAACCTTCCTCCTCGCTGATCCTCGAATGCTCGAATTCGTCATTATAGCGTGCTTTAAAATTAAAAATTATTTTTGGAAAACCGGTGGATCTGTCGACCACTACCGCTTATTACACACCTCGGCACACGTTTCGCGACTTTATTTTTCGAATTCTTTTTTTATTCTGGCTAATGTGATGCATGCCCGAAAATTCGAACCATGCGAATAATCCCAAGTACGCCGCGCACTTCATACCGTTTTATATTTATACATTTTGAGCAATCGGTTGCTTCATCCTGCGCGTTTTACATGTATATAATGAAACCGAGCTCGCGGTGTCGATCTCTTTCTCTCTCACTCTCCGTCCGTCCGTGTAAGTGTGTATCTGCGCAGTTAGCGGGTGAAAGATATTTTTCGACTCCGTTGCTTGTGCACGACCTCGATTATAACTTTGTTGCCAATGTATACCTGTGCGTGTGTACGCGCGCCTATGCAAGTGTGAGTATCAAGTACACGCGCAGTATCGCGAATTCCTGCGAAAAATCGTCCGGTTTCATTTTTTTACCGATTTTCTTTCATCTCGCTCGCGAATCTACTCATCTCTTTCTTTTATTTCTGTATTCTTTTTGACTCGCTGTTTTCTTGACTCTCGCGTTTGTTCGTTCCATTAAGATGTGGCTTGCACATGAATTGTGTAGCGAATAAGGGGAGAGTTCCCTACAAATCAGAAAGGTGTTAATAATTTCGACTACATGTGTGTATTGGTACGCTGTACACACGATAATATAGGATACGATTGAGAAACATCCACGTCACGATGACACGACGACGTATAGGTAGCTTGAGAATTTCATCCTACTTTCGAGAAATCGACCAAATTACTTTCGAATGATATAAACATTCTTTTTTTTTTAACAAAAATCTAGGTCTCACCACATAATGCGCATCGCATGGTATTCAAAAAATGCTAAGCTGGATGCACGCACATAATCAGCAACATATATGGTCGTTGTTGTTTCAAATTTTTGCAACACAATTTATGTAGCGAATCAAAAATAGCTCGTTCACGTTGATATAGGTATGCGCGGCGTTACAAAATTCGCCGAAATAAATCAAACTTAACGGTATTTAACGTCTGCCATGAACTGGCAATTGAAATTAATTTCGTCGTCATCATCGATTACCACAAATGAATAAACGCAAATTCGCACGCGGCGTATAAGCGACACGCGCGAGCACCGTGGAAAGAATAAATAAGAAAAAAAAAAGAAATAAAATGAACTGAAAAAGGCCGACTTGTCATCCACTATTCAGAATGTAAATTGACCTCTCTCTATCTTTCTTTCTTTTTCCTCGTTATTATACATTATGGAAGCGCGAATCGGTAAAAGCTCATCGGCTACCGCGTGTCATTGTGTGCTAAGCGGAAAAAAAATAAAGAAATAAATGAGCTTCGAATTTTCACTTTCCTCGACGCAGCGGGAAAATTCGTGACCGCATGCGCATTTTCAAACTGAATTAACATAGACAATGATACGACTGTCGCCTGTATAAACACGCATTACTTTCGCGTCGTCTACGCACATTCGCTCTACGCTGCAGAGTTCAATCTTTCGCTGGCATACGGTCGCGATTATATCCCTATAGTCCGGAGCGCAGTGCACCTTCTTATCTAACCGATTAGATCACTCTTATAAAATCAGCTGTGCAGCAAAAGTCCCAGCGCACACGCGTGACATATGCACATACACTCAGTGCCTTGTAATATAAATAATCCAGCGCGAGTATATGTACGCAGTAGCAACATTGCATCATTAACATCTCTGCGCATTGCGTTTCCTCGTGTTGCGTCGTTCTATGCGCGGCACATACATTATAATCTCGATATTCATGCGTACGCAAGGGGGTCATCTTCTTCCTGTGCCCGATTTATCGGCACAGTAACCTTGGTCGGCCATCGCAGCCACCTTTTGCCATCTCTCGCCTCCTATCTGCATATTTATATATAAAGCGTCAACGTTTGGATATCATTGTTGTGTAGAAAGTTGTAATTGCTCCATCGCTTGCACTTGACAAGGCTTTGTGTATGAATACAGTTGAGGCAAATTCGGCCTTGGACTAAAACATACACACACACACACACACACACTCATGTAGACACACGCTCATATTATTGCCTGCTGACACTGCAACATAATTATGGCAATATTACAAGATCCGAGCGCGACGCTCTCTTTCTCTCTCCCTCAATCTCTCTCTTAAGTGATTTTTAACAATACTATCGTGAATGATGATATTTAGATTATTCCATGGAAAGAAGATATAAGAAAGTGAGGAATAATTTCATAACACAATGCTTGATATTGAGCGGTAATTTTTATTCATATAAATTCGTGTCATTGGAAGAGATTCAGACATACTTTATTTTTCAAAAATTGATTTTTTGTATTAAACCATTGTTTAAATCACGCTTAGGACAATACATAGTAAACCAATTGAAGTAAATACCTATACAAATTTCAATATTCATTAACATAAATAAATATAATGTTGATATGCTGAACAGACAAGTACTGTTGTGTCTACGTTGTCTACGTTAATACAATATAATATTTCCAATTTATACACCTCACCTCAAACATTTCTAAGATTCGAACCTCTGAATTCGGCGCTAGACCTAATATCGAACAGTTCCTTTTCTAACGTCGCAACGAAGTAAATTCAAAGATGAGACGATCACCCGATTCACCACCTTCATCGCATTCCGAGGGGACCGGACGATTTTCACCTCAAATGACTCACGACGGAAGATTAATAAGTAATCGTCGAGAGTGGGAGGAATACGAACGACGAAAAGCAGTAGAAACTAGACGACTAGCCTCAGCTGAAGCTTATAGACAAGCGTACGAACTTATAAAATTAAGTTCTAAAGAAGTTCAAGCGGCCGAGCAGGAGCCTAACGATGCTGACCCTGTTCGAGCACCAAACCAGGTGAACCAAGCGAAGGTACCAGTTCCACATGAAAATAAGTAGACATCGCCACCCATTGCTCGAAAACTGCACCGTTTCGAGCAGAAATAACCAAGAGATCATGATCAACCAAATGATGGTTGACAGAAGCCTACACGAGCATGTTACTTTATTTAAAAGATTTTTCAGAAAAAACGATAAGTCATCATTTGATATTTGAATATTATTATGTATAACTTCGATGTAGACACAACAGTACTTATCTGTTCAATAAAAACATCTTTTTTTTATATTAATGCATAATAAAATTTGTATAAATTTTTATTTCAATTAAAAGCAAAGAAGAAAAATAGTAGTAAAAATAAATCAATTTGATGTCGAGAAATGAATAATCGTTAAAATTAAAATTTTTTGTTATATAATCATAATTATCACCAGTATTATTATTTGGACGCGAGAATAAAAACATAACTTAGTCCGTAAACCAAGGATGCGCATCATCGCGTAGACGCACATGCCTATAGGCAAGAGCGCGGCATGGATTATAATAAAAAAGAAAAATTATGATCAAGGAACTTATAAGTTTTGTTCTCATTTTCACTCAAACATTCAAGTGTATATGGCGATGGACGAAATGTCAATGTCCCGGAACCAGTTCGGCGCTGGCTTGGCATGTGCATGTGCGGTCTCACGTCGGTCGCAAATATAAAGTAGGCAGATATTTATGAGATGACCCTGAAAGGAAACACTCGCGGAGTTCGATTTAATTATGGTGAACTTTTCAAGTATTTTTGAGTCTTTTACGCAGGCGAAAAAACGAGATATAAAGAAAGAGAGAGAGAAGTCCTTTGCATTGTCGATGACGTCGATAGAGTTTTATTTTCTTCCTCTCTTTTTTAGAAAAGAATTTTACTCGAGTGTTCTCGATGGTGTTAATAGCATACATATATAAATTTATTTACAAATCGAGTGGTTGGTTTATGTATATAATACCATCTGCAATGTGCGAGTGTTTCTTTTTTTTTTTGTAGTCTCGAGAAGGTCAAGGTACCGATGAGTGTTAAAAGGCTAGTGTGGCTATCCGTAATGCTGCTGTACGCGAAAATTGAAGTTGACTCAAAGCTTATCGAAAGATGATTGAAAAGCATTTGCGGTCGACTTGTGACAGCTGCGTATTTATACAAATAAATTTATAAATAGGTAACGCATAATATTAAACATCTATGCCAAGATTATTTGATATTCAAATGATTGTCGGACTGACGCGAAAATATGTATCGAT